TCTGCCCAGCTGCTGTGTGAACTTCTTGCAGTTTTGTTTATAGGGGTATAGTTAGAACTGCCTTGGTAGAGGTGGTCTGGCTCGGAAGAGGCAGTCTGGCTCAGTAGTGGTGGACACCCTTTCCTCCACAGAGCTGGACCATCGTGGGTCCAGCTGTGCTTGCTGTGAAACTCTCAGTCCAAAGCGTTTCAGATTGCTGGTCTTTGTGGGGGTGGGACCAGCGGAGCCAGATCACCTGGCTTCCTGTTTCAGCCCCCTTTTTTTTAGTTGAACAGGTGACTCTGTCTCCCAGGTGTTCCAGTCGCCAGTTGAAACAGCGCCTGGATTTGTGTGAATTTTTGTGCGGAGACCTGCTGTGCCAGCAGAAACAGCTGCACTGGAGACTTGGGGCACTTTTCTGCCTGGGAATCTCCTGGTCTGTGGGCAGTAAAATTTTGTTTGGAAATGCAGTGATCACTCATCCTCTGCGTTTTTCCTGGGAACTGCTCTCCAGAGCTGTTCCTATTCGGCCATCTTCAGAAGTTTTTTTTGAGACGGAGTTTCGCTCTTGTTACCCAGGCTGGAGTGCAATGGCACGATCTCGGCTCACCGCAACCTCCGCCTCCTGGGTTCAGGCAATTCTCCTGCCTCAGCCTCCTGAGTAGCTGGGATTACAGGCACGTGCCACCATGCCCAGCTAATTTTTTGTAGTTTTAGTAGAGACGGGGTTTCACCGCGTTGACCAGGATGGTCTCGATCTCTTGACCTTTTGATCCACCCGCCTCGGCCTCCCAAAGTGCTGGGATTACAGGCGTGAGCCACTGCGCCCGGCCTTTTTTTTTTTTTGAGATGGAGTCTCTCTGTCGTTCAGACTGGAGTGCGGTGGTGCAATCCCAGCTCACTGCAGCCTCTACCTCCTGTGCTCAAGCAATTCTCCTGCCTCAGCGTCTCAAGAAGCTGGGATTACAGGCACATGCCACCACGCCAAGCTAATTTTGTTTTTAGTAGAGATAGGGTTTTGCCAATGTGTTGGCCAAGCTGGTCTCAAACTCCTGGCCTCGGGTAATCCACCCTCCTTGGCCTCCCAAAGTGCTGGGATTACAGGTGTAAGTCACTGCGCCTGGCCAATTGGAAGTTTCTTCAGTCTGTCTTATGGAAACTGTATAAATTGTTAGTTGCAGAAATCACAGGAGAATATAACGAAAGCCATTGCTAGTTTAAACAGTTCATTGCTGCCCTCTCCAGGGGATGTCTGAGCTGTATCCTCATTCTCCCTGTGAGTGGTTGGAGCAGGGCTTAGGAAAGGCACAGCGCAGAGACAGTGTCTAGCATGGAGACAAGTCACGGTTGTGGCGTGGATTTGGGTGGTACAGTACCCTAATAATTCTGCTCTCCAAGCCCCAACTTCCTGACAATGTTTGCTTTCTGCGTACTCTTCTGGATCAGGCACTTAAAGGACTAAATATCTAGATGTTATTTCCATGCCACTTAAGAAGGGACGGAGCTTCTGGAGAGCTGGGCCATTTGTGATTTTGCTTTTGCTGAGAAAGGCTTAGGATAGTAGAGAGAAATGGCAGCTAAAGATTCAGAAGCAGCACCATCCATATTCAGTGCCACCTCCAGCCTCAGTGGCCCAGATCCTGTACTTGAACTTGACACGCTTGCTTGTTGGTGATGTTGTAATTGAGGGAGACCACTTTAAACCTTTGACAGTCAAAGTTTAATGGCTTCTAGGAGGTTTATCAGACATGTTTTTTGTTTTGTTTTGTTTTGTTTTTTGCTTCCAAAGTATATATTGTATAGGGGATTTTTGGCCGGGCACAATGGCTCACACCTGTAATCTCTGCACTTTGGGAGGCTGAGGTGGGTGGATCACCTGAGGTCAGGAGTTCGAGACCAGCCTGTCCAACATGGTGAAACCCCGTCTTAAAATAATAAAAAATTTAAATTGGGGATTTTTGCTAGGTGCAGTGGTTCATGCCTGTAATCCCAGTGCTTTGGGAGGCAAAGGCAGGCAGATCATGAGTTTAGGAGATTGAGACTATCCTGGCTAACACGGTGAAACCCTGTCTTCACTAAAATAAAATTAGCGGGGCGTGGTGGCACACACCTGTAGTCCCAGCTACTCAGGAGGCTGAGGCAGGAGAATCACTTGAACCCTGAACCCTGGAGGTGGAGTCTGCAGAGAGCTAAGATCGTGCCACTGCACTCCAACCTGGTGACAGAGTGAAACTCTGTCTCAAAAAAAAAAAAAATTGGGGATTGTTGAAACAAAATGGTGGAGGGGATTTTAATAAGCAATAGAACAGATATCTTAAGAAACAGCAAGAGGGAGAAACTACTACTTACTGATTTTTATCTTTTCTTTTATTAAGCTTTTCAGTTCATTAAATGTTCCCTGCAAGATTACAGGGAGTTCTTAACTTGAGGTTCATGGAAGTTGTGGGGTGTGTAAACCACTTAACATTGTATGCAAAATTTTGTGTATATCTGCATTTTTCTGTGGAAAGGCATCCATGGCTTACAGTTTATTTTCAAAGGGCCATAGGGCCCTGGAAGGCACAGGACCCCATGTTTGTTTCCTCTCGGAGTCTTGATTACAATGGTATCTGGGTAGACAAAGTAGGAATCTACACAACAGATGACTCAGACTTGACATGTCCAGAAAATAGAGTTGTGGTGGATTCTAAGACATGCCCCCAGGTCCCCCATCAGTGCATGACTCTGCCCAGCTACTGTGTCAGGTACAGTTAGTACCTGTTGGCCTTCATTCCTTAGCCTCTTCAAGGATTGCCTTGGCTACAAAGAATCCTCTCACCTGGGGCTGTGCCCCTTCTGGAGGCAGCCCACATTCAGGGACTGACAGATGAAGGGCCATTCTACCTGTTCACCCTAGAGGGCATTTCAGGCTGTTGATTGCAGCTCAGCTTCTCCTGCTCCCCAGTCCTGTTTCCTCCCCCGCCCCATCAGGTGTCAGTAATCCCAAGGGCACTCCTGAATAAACATCCTGTCCTTGAAACTTCATCTCAGAATCTGCTTCCTGGAGAACCTAACTTGCAACAGAGTTCAGCAAAACCAGTCATTTTATTACAGATCAAAAAAGGGCCTTAAGGGCCGGACACAGTGGCTCACGCCTGTAATCCCAGCACTCTGGGAGCCTGAGGCAGGTGGATCGCCTGAGGTCAGGAGTTCAGACCAGCCTGGCCAACATGGTGAAATCCCATCTCTACTGAAAATACAAAATTAGCCAGTTGTGGTGACACACGCCTGTAATCTCAGCTACTCAGGAGGCTGAGGCAGGAGAGTCACTTGAACCCAGGAGGTGAAGGCTGCAGTGAGCTGAGATCGCACCACAGCACTCCAGCCTGGGCGACACATAGCAAGACTGTGTCTCAAAAAAAAAAGAGCTTTATGATAAATAGATTTCTATAAAATTGCTTCACTCATTGAATGCAGCACGGTTATGGTGTCTGCACATTTTTCAGACAAGCCAAACCTAGCCTGCTCAGCAGTCTCACTGAAGAGACTGACTTATCATTGGCACCCGGATTTTCACACCATCCATTCCTGTGTGAAACCCTTCTAGCTCTAGGAAGTGAATATCATTGCCAGCAATCAGGATAACAGACGACCCAAGTTGTGCTGTGCACAGATCTGTTGATCTTGATTCTGCAAATAGTCAATGGCATTGAATTACATGAGTCCTGTTTTCAAAGCTGGACTAGATGTTTAGAGGGTCAAATTATAAGACACAGTTTCCACATTGGATAACAGGTTGAGAGTCCAGGTGCGATAATCCTATATTCGGAGGAGGTAACTTTTATAGCGCTATAAAAGCTAAGATTACCAAAGCCTATCCCTGGAAAGACTAACAAAGCAGCCCATCGATGATGGTGGTGATAATGATGAAAATGAAATGGGGACATTCCCTCTTAACTGTATCTAATTTAAGACACTATTACATGGGGCGTGGTAGCTCATGCCTATAATCCCAGCACTTTGGGAGGCCGAGGCGGGTGGATCACTTGAGGTCAGGAGTTCAAGACTAGCCTGGCCAACATGGTGAAACCCCATCTGTACTAAAAATACAAAAATTAGCCAGGCGTGATGATGTGTGCCTATAGTTTCAGATACTTGGGGAGGCTGAGGTGGGAGAATCGCATGAACCTTAGAGGCAGAGGTTGCAGTGAGCCAACATTGTACCACTGCACTCCAGTCTGGGCAACAGAGCGAGACCCTGTCTCAAAAAAAA